CTATAGTCTAGTCTATAGTCTAGTCTATAGTCTAGTCTATAGTCTAGTCTATAGTCTAGTCTATAGTTGTGTCTATAGTCTAGTGTATAGTCTAGTCTATAGTCTAGTGTATAGTCTAGTCTATAGTCTAGTCTATAGTCGAGTCTATAGTCTAGTCTATAGTCTAGTCTATAGTCTAGTCAATAGTCTAGTCTATAGTCTAGTCTATAGTCTAGTCTATAGTCTAGTCTATAGTCTAGTCTATAGTCTAGTCTATAGTCTAGTCTATAGTCTAGTCTATAGTCTAGTCTATAGTCTAGTCTATAGTCTAGTCTATAGTCTAGTCTATAGTCTAGTCTATAGTCTAGTCTATAGTCTAGTCTATAGTCTAGTCTAGTCTATAGTCTAGTCTATAGTCTAGTCTATAGTCTAGTCTATAGTCTAGTCTATAGTCTAGTCTATAGTCTAGTCTATAGTCTAGTCTATAGTCTAGTCTATAGTCTAGTCTATAGTCTAGTCTATAGTCTAGTCTATAGTCTAGTCTATAGTCTAGTCTATAGTCTAGTCTATAGTCTAGTCTATAGTCTAGTCTATAGTCTAGTCTATAGTCTAGTCTATAGTCTAGTCTATAGTCTAGTCTATAGTCTAGTCTATAGTCTAGTCTATAGTCTAGTCTATAGTCTAGTCTATAGTCTAGTCTATAGTCTAGTCTATAGTCTAGTCTATAGTCTAGTCTATAGTCTAGTCTATAGTCTAGTCTATAGTCTAGTCTATAGTCTAGTCTATAGTCTAGTCTATAGTCTAGTCTATAGTCTAGTCTATAGTCTAGTCTAGTCTAGTCTATAGTCTAGTCTATAGTCTAGTCTATAGTCTAGTCTAGTCTAGTCTATAGTCTATCTAGTCTATAGTCTAGTCTATAGTCTAGTCTATAGTCTAGTCTATAGTCTAGTCTATAGTCTAGTCTATAGTCTAGTCTATAGTCTAGTCTATAGTCTAGTCTATAGTCTAGTCTATAGTCTAGTCTATAGTCTAGTCTATAGTCTAGTCTATAGTCTAGTCTATAGTCTAGTCTATAGTCTAGTCTATAGTCTAGTCTATAGTCTAGTCTATAGTCTAGTCTATAGTCTAGTCTATAGTCTAGTCTATAGTCTAGTCTATAGTCTAGTCTATAGTCTAGTCTATAGTCTAGTCTATAGTCTAGTCTATAGTCTAGTCTATAGTCTAGTCTATAGTCTAGTCTATAGTCTAGTCTATAGTCTAGTCTATAGTCTAGTCTATAGTCTAGTCTCTAGTCTAGTCTATAGTCTAGTCTATAGTCTAGTCTATAGTCTAGTCTATAGTCTAGTCTATAGTCTAGTCTATAGTCTAGTCTATAGTCTAGTCTATAGTCTAGTCTATAGTCTAGTCTATAGTCTAGTCTATAGTCTAGTCTATAGTCTAGTCTATAGTCTAGTCTATAGTCTAGTCTATAGTCTAGTCTATAGTCTAGTCTATAGTCTAGTCTATAGTCTAGTCTATAGTCTAGTCTATAGTCTAGTCTATAGTCTAGTCTATAGTCTAGTCTATAGTCTAGTCTATAGTCTAGTCTATAGTCTAGTCTATAGTCTAGTCTATAGTCTAGTCTATAGTCTAGTCTATAGTCTAGTCTATAGTCTAGTCTATAGTCTAGTCTATAGTCTAGTCTATAGTCTAGTCTATAGTCTAGTCTATAGTCTAGTCTTTAGTCTAGTCTATAGTCTAGTCTATAGTCTAGTCTATAGTCTAGTCTATAGTCTAGTCTATAGTCTAGGCTATAGTCTAGTCTATAGTCTAGTCTATAGTCTAGTCTATAGTCTAGTCTATAGTCTAGTATAGTCTATAGTCTAGTCTATAGTCTAGTCTATAGTCTAGTCTATAGTCTAGTCTATAGTCTAGTCTATAGTCTAGTCTATAGTCTAGTCTATAGTCTAGTCTATAGTCTAGTCTATAGTCTAGCCTATAGTCTAGTCTATAGTCTAGTCTATAGTCTAGTCTATAGTCCTAGTCTAGTCTATAGTCTGGTCTATAGTCTAGCCTATAGTCTAGTCTATAGTCTAGTCTATAGTCTAGTCTATAGTCTAGTCTATAGTCTAGTCAATAGTCTAGTATATAGTCTAGTCTATAGTCTAGTCTATAGTCTAGTCTATAGTCTAGTCTAGGGTGACAGATTAATGGGGAACCTGTGTGGACCCTATTCATGTCTTCAATAGGCAAACGGAAATGGCTAGATTCTATTAGGCCACAACAAGGATCCAGAATACATATACGATCAATATTTATATGTGCTACATACGGAATGACATCTTCCCCAGCGGCATGGTACCTTGATGATCTTCACCATCTTAGTGTTATTGATATTTCTAGTCTGGCGGGACTATAAACTGGTGGTGTCAAATGTATCTTCTGCCTTTCCATGGAATGATTTGACCTGGGCTGGAAGCAAGGAGCCTTATAATCTGTTACCAAGGGAACCGGTAGCCAGCAGGGCAGAGTTTCGAACTTTGCCTTGTGCCGGTTATAAGAAAGGACCTTTTGGGGTGCACGTGATGGCTGTGGTTAAAACCCAAACTCGCGAGAAGAGAATGTTGGTTAGAAGACTAATACAAGTTATGTTTCTAATTCGGTGTCAAGTGTATAAGATACGGAATAGAAGTAGGGATATGCGGGCCTCAGCCATCTGTATACCTAGAGTGAGTGTGTAGGATTTTTTTAATGAGTGTGTCGGATGAATGAGAAATGTGCTGGGTTGAATAGTGATGGATGTAAGGTATCTTATACAACTGATACCACTGAATTTTCCAGTTTTAAAACAGTGTGTTCTCTGTCCTCGGCTTATTTGATGGAGTCGTATTTCGGCCTACATACGTCTATAGGTGCTGTTGCTGAATCAACAGTGGCCACCCCAACTGCGTGGTTGTAAGCGGAAATGATGTTTATGCATCTCGGAAGTTACGAAACAGGGCAGTCATGGTCAGAGATTAGATAGTTCGAGTACTTGAACCCGCCGAACCATGACAAAAATTGCCACCGACGTATAAGAAGCACAAAGTGGCGATGGACAGTCATCTAATAAGCTAACCCTGTGGTTGTAAAAGTTCCACCGTGAAATACGGCCAACACGACAGGTGTTCATGTAAAGCACTTCGACTTATACTCCATATTTATTTAAAAATGCTTGTTTAAGGTCTAGTCGATATAATGGACCACTCATAACTTTAGACTAACTGACACTTCAACAATGTATACTGGATACATTGGAAGGCTATACACAAACATCAGATGTGGCCGGTCTTATACCAGATTAAGAATATGTCGGAAACTATGAAACACTGATTCCAGATAGAGTGCCATGACATTCAAGCAAAATATTAGAGCAAATATCCGTAGGAATCCGTTGCCTGCTATAGATATATACTACTTAGTCACAACATTATAAAGTTAAATTTAAGATCGTATTCGAATACTCTCATTAAAGTAAGATTTACATACTAGGCCACTCGGCAGTAGGTCGGCAACGAAAGAGCGAATTTACTTACTTTAAGGGAGCCCGTGGTAGTTAACTTGATGAACACAAAACCATTCGACGCAACGAGAGCTACATTTAAAAATGTAAACGAGAGAATCCTATAAAACCTTTTGCAATAAGGAATAAGGAGTAGAACCACAAAGATCCTATGAAGTGCCCCTAACGAGAGGAGAGACGGACGGGCTGACCTCCTCAAAATGAGCACGTCTGAGGTTAGTGTGATCGTACATACAACTATGTATACAAAATTGGACGTGCCATTAAAGCGAATGTAGATCATGGGGAAAGGACAGTGATACTCTGGAGCACTTTCTTTGTAATTGTCAGGGCTTCGTCGAAATTAGGTCCAAATATCATGGGAGTGATATTATTCAGGATATAACATTCAGGAAATTGAGTTTCTAAACATCGGACGATAGTACCTACATTGATCACTATATACATTTTAATTCCTAACAAACATTTTCTATGAAAAGGAGGTCTCAACAGGGCCAATAGTGTCCTAGGTGTATTTCTTCGGATTTGATTTAGTATACATCCTCCTATCAACTTAACCTAATCTAAATTAATTTAAGGGTCTAGTCACCAAAACAGTTCTTCAGTCAAAAATGCTATAAAGATCTTTAAGTTTTTGACATGTTTTAGAATTAATTAGAATTTTGCAAAGTTTTTATCACAGTAAATTAGATAAATTGCATTATAAATTATCTGTTAAAGGTAAATATGTTTTAATGTTAAAACATTTTCATTTTAAAAGTTTTAAATTACAAAAGCGTATCAGTATATCAAATGCAAGTGTAAATACGTTTAAATATTACATGAACGAAAACAATTTTTTTATTATTTCCACGTGTACTTACAACCGAATACGTATAGAAAATTTATACATTTAAATGACCTGCGGATATATTTTCCATTAATTTTAAAATATATTTTACAACTAAATCTGTTCTTGTTTACTTAGATTGAACAATTTTTTCTCAATATCAATATAGTAAAAATATTCATAAGCGAACATGGCTTAAACAGTTCAGAAAGTGATCCTACGCCGATTGTCTTAAAGCTGGGTGCAGGACCAATATTTGAATGCTTTACAAACATCAGCACAAATGCATAATATCCTTGCCACTTTAGGTTAAAATTGGGCATAAATCTCTCTTCGAAAGTTAATGAGAATCGGTTCGTATTTGTTCCCGGCCGTTATTTATTTTTAAGATTTAAACTCAATATTTTTTATATTTTATTAATAATTTTATATATTTTTGTTGGAGACACTTGTAATAATAACAACTTGTTTTATAATTTTAATTTATATCAAGAGTACATTGAAATATTTTATACATGTTTCAAAAAATAATTTTTCATTTATTCATTCTTACTTTGACTTTTCAAATAAATAGAACTTTTTTGTTATTTAATATTTTATAAAAATATAATTTGTTTTAATACAAACCCCAACAAATTGGCGACGAGGATTATGGCTCAAGATTCAAAAATACTGGAACTTTTGGAGTTACAAAGCAAACTTCTTGCAACCCTTACCCAAGGAAATGCATCAAGCATCAATCAAGATTTACTAATGGAAAAATTATCGAACAGCATAACTGAATTTTGCTATGATCAAGCAAATTCATCAACATTCAATAATTGGTATGCTCGTTTTGAAGATATTTTTCTCGTAGAAGGCAAGGATTTGGACGATGCTGCACGTGTTAGACTCCTAATGCGAAAACTAAACAATATTGCTTATGGGCAATACTCAGCATACATTCTACCAAGAAATCCAAGAGATGTCACTTTTGCGGATACGGTCAAAATTCTTAAGGATATGTATGGAATTCAAGATTCAATTTTTAGTATTCGATATAAATGTTTACAAACTGTCAAGATGTCACATGAGGATTTAATTTCGTATGGAGCTCGTGTCAACAAACTGTGTGAAAATTTTAAGTTATCTGAGATGAACGCAGATGAATTCAAATGCTTAGTATTTGTTTGTGGTCTACAATCCAATGCAGACTCTGATGTTCGAATGAGATGTCTTTCAGCTCTAGAAGATGACCCTAATCAAAACATTAATAAGCTAATTACTAGTGCTCAAAGATTGCTAAACTTAAAACATGATACAGCAATGGTAGAAGTTAACACACAATCATCCATAAATGCTATAAAATCAAATCCAAAATCAAATGATGATTTTAAAGGTAAGGCGAAGCCAAAAACCCCCTGTTGGAACTGTGGTGCCATGCACTATTCAAAATATTGCACCTATTTAAAACATGTATGTACACAATGTAAAAACATGGGACATAAAGAAGGTTACTGCAAGAATCATCAGTCAGAAAACAAGTTCACTCATGAAAAGAAAAAGAAATATAACAAGAATCACAAATATTCAAAACCGAAGTCCAATGTTGTTCAAATCAACCGGATCTCGTATGAGTCAAGAAGGAAATTTGTCACAGTCAATATAATACCTTCATCATCAACAACATCTGCAAATATAGATGTAAAAATGCAAATCGATACCGCATCAGATGTGTCGATTATTGGTAAAACGTTATGGCGAAAAATGGGTAATCCAGGCACAAAACTGTCAAATCGTTATGTCACAAGCGCTTCAAAGGATCAGATCAAACTCATAGCCGAGTTTCCATGTCAAGTTCGGCTCCAAGGTGATGTAAAACATTGTAATTTATTAGTTGTAGACATTGATACTCTCTCAATTTTTGGTTCAGATTGGCTTGAGATTTTTGGACTATGGGACAAACCATTAAGCAGTGTATGTTCTCAAATAAAGGATCAAGAAATTGACATTAATGTCCTACATAACATCAAATCTGAATATGCCGATATTTTTCAAAATTCTCCTTCGAAATGTACTAAAGCACAAGTACATTTACAACTTAAACCAAACGTCAAACCAATTTTCCGTGTGAAGAGACCAGTTGCTTATGCTATGCTAAGTTTAATTGAAGATGAATTGCAGCGATTGGAAACATTAGGCATAATCACTCCAGTTGATAACGCAGAGTGGGCAGCACCCATTGTTGCAGTGAAGAAGCCTAACGGAAAAGTTAGAATATGTGGAGACTATTCATCTGGTCTTAATGACAGCCTAGAACCACATATGTATCCCTTACATCGTCCTGAGGACTTATATGCAAAAGTAGGGAACAGTTGAAGTTTGAGAAGTGCACATTCTTTGCAAAAGAGGTGAAATACCTTGGCAATATCATGTCTTCATCGGGTTTACGTCCTGATAAAGAAAAGATCAAAGCAATTTTAGATCTACCACCACCATCAAATATATCTGAGTTAAGATCATTCCTCGGATCCATAAACTATTATGGAAAATATGTTAAAAATATGAACAATTTAAGAACTCCTCTTGATCATCTACTTCAAGATAACACCAAATTTAAATGGTCAAACGAATGCCAACAATCCTTTGAAAAATTTAAGGAAATTTTAAATTCAGATCTCCTTTTAACCCACTACAACCCGGATCTGCCAATCAAAGTTGCAGCCGACGCTTCAGGAAAAGGAATTGGAGCTTACATTTGTCACATTTTTCCAGACAATTCGGAGAAAGTAATAGAACATGCTTCCCGTACTCTCACTCCAGCGGAAAAAAACTATTCACAAATAGAAAAAGAAGCACTTGGTCTGGTATATGCTGTAAAAAAATTCCATAAGTACATTTATGGAAGGGAATTTATCCTGTGTACGGACCATAAACCGCTTTTAGCTATTTTTGGAAGTAAAAAAGGTATTCCAGTTTATTCAGCAAATAGACTACAGAGATGGGCACTTACTTTAATGATGTACAATTTCAAGATTCAGTACATAAACACAAAAGAATTTGGTTGTGTCGATATGCTTTCAAGACTAATCGATACCGAGTTAAAACCAGATGAGGAAATCGTCATTGCTTGTACGACACTTGAGGAAGATTGCACAGCCATACTCATGGACCATTTTGATCAGTTACCTGTAACATTCAACATGGTAAAGCAAGCAACTCAGAAATGTCAAACAATTCAGTCAGTAATTCATGCACTACAAAACGGATGGACTTCAAATAAAAATCCAGAACTGACTCAATTTTACTCTAGAAGAGAAAGTCTAAGCGTAGTTCAAGACTGTTTAATGTACAACAACAGAATCGTTATTCCAAAATGTCTAAGGAATAAGATCATGAGACAATTGCATCGTGGACATCCTGGAAAAGAGCGAATGAAAACATTGGCAAGGAGTCATGTTTATTGGCCAGGAATAGATGAAGATGTCGCAATTTTTGTAAGAAACTGTCATAATTGTGCAGTTGCAGCTACAGCACCAGTGAAACACACATTACAGTCGTGGCCATTAGCAACAAAACCAATGGAACGTCTACATATAGACATAGCAGGACCTTGCAATGGTCAATATTATTTCGTAATAATAGACGCATTCTCAAAGTGGCCGGAAATATATCAAGTCTCAAACATCACATCTTCAACAATCATAGCCAAACTAACAGAAATGTTTGCCAGGTATGGAGATTGTGAAACAATTGTATCAGACAATGGTACACAATTTGTAAGCGCACAATTTAATCAGTTTATCAAATCTCGTGGTATCACACATATAAAAACTGCCCCATATCATCCACAATCGAATGGGCAGGCAGAGAGATTTGTAAGAACACTAAAACAAGCTCTTCAAAAACTTAAGGATGAGGGAAATAGCCATGAGATACTTGAAATATTCCTACAGACTTACCGATCAACTCCAAGGGATAACTCAAAATCTCCAGCTGAATTATTCCTCCAACGAAAAATAAAAACAACTTTAGATTTGTTAAAACCTCAACATTCAATTTCCTCACCTCAACGAAATATTAAAATGGAACAACAATTTAATTTAAAATATGGTGCCAAAGAGAGAAATTTTAAAGCAAAAGACCTTGTTTATGCACAGGTGTTTAAAAATAACAAAATGGTGTGGATTGCAGGTACAATCGTAGAAAAAGTCGGAAATGTTAATTATAATGTTTACATATACGACAATAAGACAAAATTAATAAGATCACATATCAACCAACTAAAAAGAAGATCTGAAAATAACAATTTTAGTCAGCCAGATTCAATCCAACTCATGTTAGAACTATTTGGAATCAAACCGAATTTTATAAATCAATCTCATATACGACCACCAGTAGAAAATTCAACTCCATCAACCCCTCTAAGGCTAGTTGAAGCAAATGTAACAGCAAGTACTCCAGAACAAAGACAAGTTGAAGCAAATTCAACTCCAAGCTCTCCTGAAAATCAATTACATTCACCACTAACATTTAGCACTCCAATAGCTGCACCTCCAGCAAGTATTTCAAGACCAAAGCGAAATGTGAAACCTCCAGAAAGATTTGGTTTTACCAACTAACTTCAAAAAGGGGAGATGTTGGAGACACTTGTAATAATAACAACTTGTTTTATAATTTTAATTTATATCAAGAGTACATTGAAATATTTTATACATGTTTCAAAAAATAATTTTTCATTTATTCATTCTTACTTTGACTTTTCAAATAAATAGAACTTTTTTGTTATTTAATATTTTATAAAAATATAATTTGTTTTAATACAAACCCCAACAATTTTTGTTTAAGAAGTATTTTAAGAAATAAGTATTTTTTAATGAAAAAAAAACAATAATAATAACAAAGCCTTCCAAAAAACCACAAAAATAAAAACCCACAAAGATGTAGTTAATACCACGTAAACAATGGCCCATGTCTTTTTTATATATTTTTTTAACAATAGAATAAAACCTTTTTAATAAAGACATATTGCCTACATCCTTTTGTGTCTATGTTTGTTGAAGACTAGTCCTTTTATAATATCCTTGATCTGATTATAGAGTAGCCAACTTATTGTATTTTATATTAGTTTTTTTTCTTCACAGTTCCTGGCAACAGAAAAACTGATATAAACCGAGTGCAAACAAAAATTTGCTAAAAGAAAAAAACTGCCCAGAAACGTTATAGTTTATATTGTGTGTTTAATATCCAGTATAAATCTATAGCATACCTCCCTTCACAGGTGGTATATTCAGTCATACGTGTACAATTTTGTTTATACCTTTACATTTACTGTCAAATAAAAGAAAATTTGCATACAGCTTTTAAACAGAAAAAAAGGAAACAACATTTTTTTTATAACTAAATAATTCGTGGCGAAAATCCTTTGAAAGTAAAATCTTTTCGCTTGGTTTCGTACCAAAAAAAAAAAATAAAAATTTTATCGCTTTTAAACACACCATTCATATAAAGTATTAAACATGTGAGAGTGTTATATGCCGAATCATACCCAGCAAAAACATGACAATGACTTGTACTTATTCAAGAACTTACTTTTCATTAACTACTACATACATATCCTCTGCATTAATTAGAAGGAGTCTAGTAATGACTTACAAAAAACTATATATGTATGTAAGTACTTACATTTTAGCCTTGACATTTTGTTTTTTACACCAATAAGATCGTAGTAAGTACTTACCTAACTTCCTATTTATAAGCGATCGTGGTAAATAATGACATAAAATGCTATTGTGTAAGTAAATTTTGTAAATTTTAACCCCTTACTTTTAAATGTAAGTTTTTGCTGGGTATATACTCATCATCAAAGCATGAGTCATAAATTTAAAGTGAATTTTAGAAGGGTCGTTTTTGACTTGAGGTCTAACCATCTAACCTATCTGGTGTTACGCGAATCGGTAGCACGCAGAGTATTGTTTTTGCACTGGGTCCACGTAGTAATAGCGGTTGAATCCCAAATCGCGGAGAAGACGCTGTCGTAAATCTAGTATCCAGTGGTACCAGATTTTATGGTTCTCTGGTTCGACCCCATGTCAAATTATTCCAAGGAAAGGCCGAGGATATGTTTGATCATCACCAGTTCATGGTCTCGGCAGACTAGGGGTACTCTTTTCCCAGGGATTACTATTACACCATGATGGGGTCTTTAAAACTAATATGTTCGGAACTGTTGCTGAGATTACAAGATCCCCCAGAGGAGTGACTGTATATCAGGGGTATCCGGAGTTCAGAATGTTTTCCTCTATGAATGTGTCGGATAATAATATATAAGATGGGTGTCGTGTCAGAGAATGTTCAGGGTTTATGTCCTCTATGAGTAAGGAAATCATGCATCGATCTATCAAATACGTCTATAGATATTGCTGCAGAATCAACAGAGGCAATTTCATAAGAGTAGTTGGGCATTAACGTCAACAAATGCTTCATATATGACCTGAAGATTGTCGAAAAATTCGATGAATTTTGTCAACATTATTTTTTTGTAGCAGTGATCAATTATGTTCAAAATCTTTAAAATTGATCCGAAATTTCCCCTAGTCCTATACAAAGATATCTATTCCCGGAAATTAGTTTATCATCAATAACTCCCTCAAATATATCAACACAAAATTTTATACATACAAATATAATATGAACAGAAATCATACTATCAACGTAGATCTCAGTCGGTCCACAATTGGTCACAGCTCCCCTATAAGGTCCACTTCCGCAAATCACTCAAACGCATATATTACATTGAATTCTAAAGCTTTAGGGACAAAATTCGACTTGAATATGTTTTGTCTACATACAAATCATTCTACCAAATTTTTTACGGATCGGTTCATTATTGGTTATAGCTCCCATATAAGGTCCACTTCCGAAAATCACTAAAAAACACATATTTCATTGTCAAATAAAGCTATCTTGACAAAATTCGACACAAATATGTTTTGTCTAAATATGAATCATTCTACAAAATTTTCCGTATAGGTCCATAATTGGTCATAGCTCCCATATAAGTTCCACTTCAGAAAATCACTTAAACGCACATATTTCATTGTTAAATAAAATTCTTGATAAAATTCGACACAAATATGTTTTGCCTTTATATGAATCACTCTACGAAATTTTTTTCGGATATGCTCCCGTATAGGGTCCACTTACGAAAATCACTTAAACGCATAATTCTTTGAATAATAATGCTATCGGGATAAAGTACGACTTGAATATATTTTGTGAGCATATAAGTCAATCTACCAAATTTTTTCCGTATATTTGTTAAACTCCTCTATAAAGTCCGAAAATCACCTAAACGCACTTGTTTTTTATTTAATAAATCTATTGGAGTAAAATTCGATTTGAATTTTTCTTTTTTGCATATAAATCCTTAAACAAAATTATTTCCTTATCGGTCCATAATTGGTCACAACCCCCATATAAAGACCATTTCCGAAAAGTACTTAAATACACATTGACAATCAAAGTTATCGGTATAAAATTCGATATAAATGTTTATTTTTTATATTTAAATCGGTCTATAAGTTGTCTTAGCTCCTTCTGAAAATCACTTAATACCACTTAATTCGTTATTAAATGATTATATCCGGATAAAATTCGACAATAGTATGTTCTGTGTATATATAAATCATTGTATTAAAATGTTTTGGAACTGGCCTATTAATATACATTTTTCTGGACCTAATCAAAATTAGTTCGACATATGCATAAATGTTAGTACCCTCAATACGGAAAGAAATTTTGCCAAATTATCTAAAAATTAGATAGTTAAATGGGTTTTAATAAAAAGTAGCTTGCTGGTGGAGGGCACAGCCGAATATAGCTCTTTAACTTGTTTTCTTTCTTGATGATGAGTATAAAAACAATATGTTTTAATGAAATTCTAGGGAAGGTGAGGACACATTTACACATATTTATTATACAGTAAGTATAAAAGTGTGTCGAATTTACTTTGAGCCTAAAAGTGTACCTTGAATTTGATATTACATACTAAATTTTTACAAAATAAAAATTTTTAATGAATCTATCAAATTTTCAATATCGACAAATTGAAACATTTTCGCATAGATTTATTAGGATGAAGCATTTATATATTTTCATTCCCAATTTTAAGACAAAATCCTGAAATGTATGTCGAAAGTACAATAGATATCAAACAAATAAATAAAGTACATGAATAACAAGTTATTCATAAAATGTATTCTAAATTATTCCAAATGATACATTGGAATTTTAATTTTACTGTGCATCCCAATAAACCAAAGAACGATATGATAGCGAAAACGGTATTGCTTTTAAAGGGCGATTATGATATCATATTTCATTATTTAAAACGATATTATTATAATATCGTTTTATATTATTTTGTTTCCAATAAAAAAATTAAGAAAATACAAACATTTCAAAAAAACTTCAAACATAACAAGTAAGAGTGTTATATTCGGCTGTGCCGAATCTTGTATACCCACCATCAAATCATTGCCAAAAAGGAATGCTTCCTTATAAATAAACTTTGATATTTAAGAATCCATGCTTTTATTATCCAAACAATTTTCTCATTTATTACATCTATGTATAGAGAAATTTTTGTCGAATTTTGTCGCTATACTTGCATTTTTAAGGTAGTAAAAAGCGTTTAAGTTATTTTCTGAGAGGGACCTTATTTAGGGGGGGGACGTTTGGTCAATTATGGACCGATCCTCGTCAAATTTTCTAGAACGAGAGTTAAAGCCATTTTCAGATGGAGACGGGTTAATGTCAATTATGGACCGATCCTTAAAAAATTTTACAATGATATTAAGGTTCCTGTAAAATATGTTCATGTCGAATTTCATCGCTATAGATTTTTCTTTTAGTCAGTTATGAGCGTTAAAGTCGTTTTCTGAAGGGGACCTTATATGGGGGCTAGGCGAAATCGTGGACCGATATTGCTCATTTTCAATACCAAACAAACTGCATCAATATAAAATATTTGTGCAAAATTTCAGCTCGCTAGCTGCTTCCGTTTGGCCTCTATCGTGTTTTCAACAGACGGACAGACAGACGGACAGACGGACCGACGGACAGACGGACGGACATGGCTAGATCGTCTTAGAATTTAATAAGGATCCAGAATATATATACTTTTATGGGTCTTTGATGAATATTTCGATGTGTTACAAACGGAATGACAAAAACAATATACCCCCCATCTTTTTTGATGGTGGGTATAAAAATAATTTCAATAAAAATTTTGTAACATAAGAAAACTAAATAGGATATTAAAATAAAATCAACTAAATTATTGATAAATAATCCAAATAAATACACGAATTTCGTTCGATACTTCAGTTTTGTGGTAAGTTGACATGTATGCAATTTTGAAAAGTTTCAGGTATTTGCAAGACAATGCATAATGTGATGAAAAATATGATTACTTTAAAATATGTATTAATGTATGTATGTAAATATGTACAAATGAATGCAATCCTTCCCTTTTCAGGCTTTTTTATATGTATAATAGCGAAATATTAAGTAAAATAGCGTTTTAAATGAAATTTTAAGAATAAAAGAAAAAAAACTG